CCCCAAAACCCCAAAACCCCAAAACCCCAAAACCCCAATCTCCTCCGCTTAAACTGAATTTATTTGATGTGATTATGTTTTTAAATAAACCAATTTTTCGGACTGAGTTAAACTGTTTTAAATTCTATACCTAAAAAGTTGATTTTATTAATCAAATTATTGCTTATGGTTAATCGTTCTAGAACAAAACCAGAATTTATTAAGAGAAGAGTGTTCTAAAATACTACTGTTTAGATATAACTTCCTAATTTTGTTGAAAACTAAACGAGGTAAGTTCGAATATTTCTCAACCAAGATGGATGTCAGGACGGTTATACAGATGAAAGAAGAGCACTGGAAGGGTGATCTGGGCTTGAGCGATATGTATCCAGCTTTATTTTTATTTCGAACCTCTATCTTTGTCTTTACTAGTTGAAAACATCTTTTGAGGATAGAACTCTTTCACGTACTTTAAAATTATTATTTTGGCATGTGAAAACCTTTGTTTTCATATTTAGGGATTTGGTGTGAAAATCGAGTTTTCACAATTCTGATAAAGTTTACAAATTCATGCAATGAGGCTAACACTTATTGGATTGGAGTCTTGGGAGTCCTTGTGACAGCCTGTATGGAAGGCATGTCAGGAGGCTGATCCGAAATAAAATTCTGACCCAGAAGTTTGCTCGCCTCAGCCAGGATTTCTTTGAATTTAAGAGCTTACCTTTGAATAATTTATTACCATTCATATTAACAGATCACCACCTCTCTGCCCCAGAATTCTTGTCTTTACCCCTTCACTCCCATCATGCGTCATGGCATCTACCCTTATTGAGTTTTTGCATTGTCCTCAATCCTCTTCGAGAGCACCAGGTGCTTGATTTTGGCTGTGGGTAGGCTTGGTGTGAGATCTCTTCTGATTCCGAGGATACCCTCTTGAGCATCTTCCTTCTCCTAACTGGTAGTTTGAGTCGGTTGTCTTAATTGTGTGAGAGCTGGCTGACGAGTTTGACCTGAATGTTTAACCCAGCTCTCTAGTTCTAAGATGCTCATCTCCATCAGATTCTCCCTTTCAATAAAACCCCTTAATCAGTATAACTCCAGAGCTCTAAAGTCCTCACTCCACCCCCAAATTACATCCTTAAAACCCCTAACCCCAGGAAAAGTTTCTTTCAAATTTATTTTTAAAAATCAGTTTAAAATTTCATAATTCAAAAACTCATGAAGGAATTCAGTAGAATCAGTTTGAATACTCCAGGGAATATCAGAGTCGGTATAAAGAATTCACTACAAATTTTTAATTACAAAGCCTCATTCCTTGATTACCTGAATCCATCACCCTAGATTGTTCCTCTTGCTGAGGGAGTTAATTGCCTTGGCTATGACTTCTCTTCCTTCTCTTGAGCCGAAGTGTATCGAATTGTAATCTTTGAAGGACCTTATCTTAGACTTGATAAAGTTAAATGCCAACTCTACTGAAGCCAGCGATGGGATGTATGGGGGAAGCATAGAGATGTTTATCCTCAGGTTCCTCATTATCGCTTGAGTGTTTTTGGAGAGATGGGTAGAGGCATTGTCCATTGTAAATATAAAATCATCCTCATAATTCAGACCTCTCAACTTCATAAGCACGCATACTATTCAGACAAAGACCTGGAAGTGGCAGGCCTTGACGGTATCATCTTTTATGGCACCTATAAATTCTCCTTTCGTTAGCAGCCCAAGAAGTAAAGAGCATCTTCCTTTGGCTCTAAGGTTTAGTATTTGTGCAGATCGTCCTCGAGGGAGCCAAGAGTATTAATTTTTTGTGAAAAAGACATAGAAGTAATTATAAAAGCAAATGAGTGCGATCATAAAAGAAATGAATTTTACAATCCTAGTGTCTATAAAAACAAGTTTAATTCTCAGAATAATCCAGCCTTCATAAAACCCTTCTATTCTAATAGGAGGATTACCAAATTACAAGTTTCTTCGATTGTTTTTAGTAGCAATAATTACAAAAGAATTTGACTTTATTTGATATCAAAATTTGTTCTGAGACGTCTATGTTATAAAACACCATAGCAAGTTCAAATAAAATAAAATTTTATCACTTCCAAGTTGAGAGCAAAATTAGGATCAATCGTTCGAACATTGGATTTTAATTAACTTAATTAATGTACAGTGATCTATAAAGTTATTTTAAGAAGAAGAGTTTATTTTTTAGGAAAGATTGTGTAATTTATTTTTAGCAAACTTGTAGAGCAAAGCCATATTATTTTTATATTCGCCATCAATAAAAATAAATTAACTCTTTATTTCAGGCTTTTTGAGCTTTAGGAGAAGAGGTATATGCTTTGTAGATTGTATATTTCCTTTTGTTTAAATACTGATTTGTTATTATATAGTATGCAATGACAATAACTAGATTGTGATTTCAGTTAATTTAACTGCAAAAGAGGAAAGGTTATTTTTGATAATTTTAGAAATTGACTTAAATGTGGGTTGATAGGCAAAATGGTTGGAGAGAATATCTGATAAGCCAAATCGAGAATTTTAAAATATGGTTCAGGGACTTGGACCCTCACGAAGTATACCCTACCCTCAAGATTTGGATGTGCAATACATGTTAACTTTTGGGATTCAGGTAGGAGGATGGCATACTTTAAATATTCAATCATTTTTATCTCAAGTATAAGAGCAAGATAGTCTAGAGGATTTTATGAAGGTGTTATAGTCTATTCTACAACTATTAGTGATCTCTCCTGACCATCTACCTTCTCCAAATATCAATTTACTCACCATAATATGAGAAGGTCAGATTTTTAATGTTATCATCATATTTTCCTGACAAAGTAGTTTGTTATCCCTAAATCGAGTTTAACTCAATATTTGGGAATATCAAAAGTTGGTTCAAAAGTGCCTTGATAGCCACAAAATGGATGAACAGAATGCTTGATCAAATAAATCAAGCTTTCAAAAGTTGTTATTGGATTGGATCGTCACCAAGTACATTCTTCCTTTTTATTTTCTGTCTCCACAATATATCTTTTCACATAGTCTATATTCCATCCATTAATAGCCTTTACTGGTTAGATTACTTTACAAGTGGATTTATCAGCCATATACTGAGAAAAGCTAATTTATAAAAATAATGAAGATGTTTTGTGGATGAAATAGTTTGTTTACCCTAATTAGATTTAAAGAGTTCGTAGAGGTGATTTGAGACATTCTCTCTTCAACTAAATTTTGGAGATTTAAAAATGCTACCTGCTTTGTGTCTCTTCTAGAATACCTCAAACTCTATTCCCTTACACCACCAATTCTAGAATATTAATATAAAACCTAAAACCCGTACTCAAACTCAAAATTGAAATCTTTTTGGCTCAATTTTCTAAATTTAGTCGTGCTTGTTTCAAAGTAATTATCAATCTCTAAGTTGGCCATAAAGAAGTCTAAATGCATAAAAGAGGATGATTCAGGGTTAAAAAGCATTCTTATACTCCTTATTTGCTTATTCATAAAAGTTTAGTATCTCTCGTTGACAAAATCACATACTTTCTCTGCTACATTACATATTATAAGCATTGATCTGTTAATAGCTAGTTTGTTCCTCTCTTTTTGGGACATTGAGTTGTTGTCAAGTTCGCTCTGCACGTTGTTAGGAATAACCATATCTGCATATTTCTTAGTTGGCTCAACATATTTATCATAAGCAGGTTTGACAAACTTCTCATACTTGTCAAGACACTTAGTGATATCAAAGTCTCCATCCTTCTCAGCCTCTTTCTTTTCTTTAAGGATTCTTCTTGTGAGTCTGATATCGTCATCAGCTTCAATATAAATTTTCTGATCAAACATTTCGCGAAGCTCTTTATTTGCAAAGGCAAGGTGACCTTCAACAATGATTACATCGCAGGGGTCTACTTTCACCCAATTCTCTTCTCTCATTTTGGTCTTTTTGTTGTACTTAGGCTTAGTGGTGCTCTTGTTCTCTTTAAGTTTCTTCAAAACTTCGATCAACAAATCAAATTCGATGGCGTCTGGGGAGTCAAAGTCGTATAATTTGTTAATCTTCTCAACTGCAGTTTTGTGATCTTCCTCTGCATCTATTTGCTCAAGTTCTTCATCTAATCCATCATGAGAATGTGTGCTTCTTCCTTTTCCCAAGAGAGGCTTATAGAAGTCAGAACATTTTATGCAAGCAATGCTCCTGACTAGGTTCATCTTAATGTGTTCAACCAAGGTGGTCTTTCCGCAGGAGGGTCCTCCACAAATACCGATTAGGAATACTCCTTTTCTCCGAATCAAAGGAGGGAGTTGCTTGGTTAATCTATTTCCAACTACAGGAGTGAAAGACTTATCTTTAGCCTTGGCTGTATCTATCTTAGATTCCTCATCTTCCTCATTAGTATCCTCCATTGGAATTGGCTCTAGAGCCTCATCTGGTGCCTCATTAGCTTCATTCTTATCAGGTTGATCCCCACCCTGTTTAGGATTTTTGAGATAATTCATTAAAATTATAATTATACGGGGTTTTGGGGTTTTGGGGTTTTGGGGTTTTGGGGTTTTGGGG